GTCTTAGAGGTCACAGTCAAATGGTATTTCGCGTGGCGATCAGCAAGGACGGCAAGACGGCTGTCAGCGGGGGGAAGGATGGGACCTTGAGGGTGTGGGACCTTGTGAGCATGAAGCAGAAGGCTTGTCTTAGAGGTCATAGCGATACGGTATGGAGCGTGGCGATCAGCGGGGACGGCAAGACGGCTGTTAGCGGGAGTAGGGATCATACCTTGAGGGTGTGGGACCTTGGAGCATGACGCAGAAGGCTTGTCTTCAAGGTGACTTTGATTGGGTGACCAGCGTGTCTATCAAGTGTGTGGTGGAGTCCGATGGCTCGGCGCTGCACGTGGCGGCGGCGCGAGGCATCTGGTCTGTCTGTGAGAGGCTGCTGGAGGTCGGGGGCGGAGAGCTCGGGGAGCTGCGAGACTCGCTGGGACGAACAGCGGCGGAGGCAGCGCGAGAGAGGCAGGACGAGGAGCTGGCGAGCAAGATAGAGGGCTGGATGCGGCGGGGGATGGAGCGGGGAGCTTCTGTCAGCGGCACTGCAAGGCAGCGTCAAGCCCGCGCAGGAGGGGATCGAGCGACATGAGAGGTGTAGAAGCGACAAGAGCAAGAAGCGCCAGCGCAAGCGCCAGCGGAGAGACGCGGAGCAGCAGGCGTCTGACGACGACAACCAGCAGGGCGCTGTCTCTCAGGTCCTGTTTGTGTCTGTACGAGGGTCGATGACTGACGTGATCCTCTCGTCTCCAGCTGGGAAGCGTGCCATCGGTGGACTACGACAGCCTGGTCGACAGTCGTCAGGTCGGCTCAGGCTCCTCCAAGCTCGTCTACAAGGCTCGCTGGCTGCAGCCGCACGCCAGCACCGCTGACGTGGCCATCCTACGTATCCGAGGCAGCGGAGCTACTGCCAGGAGACAAGCTCTCGAGCAGGAGCTCAAGACCTGGCACCAGCTGGGCCGTCACCGCAGCTTGCTTGGCCTCCTCGCCGTCACCGTCGAGCCAAGCTCTGGCGACTACTGCCTGGTGACTGAGTACGCTTGCCAGGGCTCTCTCGAGAGGACCTTGCGCAGCTTCGCGGAGGAGGAGGAGACGATAGGTGAGCTGGTGCAGCTGGAGGTGGCCAGGCAGATCTGCGACGGGATGGAGCAGCTGTCGCTGCACGAGGTTGTACACCGGGAGCTGGCGGCGAGGAGCGTGCTTGTCTGGAGTCTGCAAGGGCAGGATCACCTCGGGGTGAGGGTCAAGGTAGCCGACTACGGGCGATGGATCATGGGCTGGCGCGGTGACGGAGTGAGTCGGGTAGGGAGCGAGAGCTCGGCAGGCTCGAGGGCTGGACGGGCGCGATGGATGGCGCCGGAGAGCTTGCTGAGACATCGCTACTCGGAGAAGAGCGACGTGTGGGCGTTCGGGGTGACGCTGTGGGAGGTCTGGACTTACGGCAAAGTCCCTTACTGGGCCATCACCGACGATGAGCTTGTAGGACCCAAGGTTGTGGACGGGGAGCGACTAGCGGCTCCTGCTGCATGCCCTCCAGCAGTGTATGCGATCATGCGAGAGTGCTGGCGGGAGAAGATCAAGGAGCGGCCGAGCTTCAGCGAGCTGCGGAAGAGCTTCAGCAGCGATACGATGATGCCGTCGGAGAGCGCGGGCAGCCATGCGTCGTCTGCA